TCTTATGGCTCTGTGAAGAGATATGGAGCTGAAGGGAAGAGGGGAAGGAGAGGGTCAGGCACTCTCCAGATCACTTTCCTGTCATAACTTGTGCTGCGTTTACTGAGAGTTAAAATCTGCTTTGATAGTTTGATTTGCCTCCTTGCCACGCCAAGAAACCCCACCCCAAAAAAAGAGAGCAGAAAGCAGCAGATCTTGCCCTTGTCTGTACCCTGTGCTTCCTGACCCTGAACTTGCCACAGACCCTGGGAGCCCTTGCATGGCCAGGTAGTGCCAGACTGGGGAGCAGATCTCCAACCCAGTCACTTCCCATCAGTGCTGCAGCACCTGGGGGGACAGGGTGACTTCCCAGGAGCCTTCTTGGAAGCGCCTGGCAGTTTTTGGAGTGTAATTGTTTGGTTTTTTTTTTCCCATCCTTTATAACTGCAGTTGTGCAGTTACAGCACATACCTTGTTTGCATTTTTCTGTGGCACTGCTGACTCACATTCCAGAGGTGAGAGTTAAAATGCAGCTCCTTCTGACTTTGAGTTATATTAAAGGTGGGAGGAGCCAATGAAATACTTTGTCCTCTGAGATCCCTGTGACTTCTGCATTTCCTCTGGAAGAGGAGATGAATAAACTGGGATTTGGAAAGGCTCCATAGGCACTGTGAGAAGGGAAGAGAAGAGGCCTGAAGGCTTCCTTGGACACAAACAGCTTCTGAGGTACTGTCCTCTTCTTTAGAGGGTCCTGTCTTCCACCCTGTTCTCTTACCATTTCTTGCTCTCTTGTTCTGAAGTAGACACTCAAACTTGCATGGAAATGCTGTGGCAGGAGTGAAATTATCAGTGAGCTGCACGTTTTCTCGGTAGGGAAGAACATGTGTTACTGGTGATCTTTGTACCTAAATAACCTATACATGTGTAGCCCACACTGGTAACTTCCAGAGAGCTCTGTGTGAACTCACATGAGTCTGTGAATGCAGAACCCCAACAGGTTCCTGTTGGTACGTTTATATAGAAGTGTGCAGGACCTCAGAAATAATAGAATAAATGTATTAACAGCACTTTCCTCTTCATGTAATTACTGAATTATTTTTTCCATCTCCATTACCCGTCTTTTTTTTTTTCTCCTGTCTCCTTAGCAAGTCTTGCTAATATCTTCTTTTCCAAAAATGCCATCCTGTCATGCTTGCAAATAAGGGAGAATCTGTCAGAAGGGCTGCAGGAGAAATCCCTGTGGTTCTTCTCCTTTCCCAGGAGAAGCTGCCACCCGGGCTGGATCTGACCAT